ACGCGCACGCGCACGCGCACGCGCACGCGCACGCGCACGCGCACGCGCACGCGCACGCGCACGCGCACGCGCACGCGCACGCGCACGCGCACGCGCACGCGCACGCGCACGCGCACGCGCACACACACGCGCACACACACACGCGCACGCGCACACACACACGCGCACACACACACACACACACACACACACTACACACTACACACTACACACAATACAAAAAAGACACAAGTCCCAGGAACCCACATATTTTGCAATATTCTCTGGATTTCCATGTTCCCCTCAGCTTCCCATCTTTTCCTACATGTTCCTGGGGATCGACGATTCTCTGTGCCTGCGTGCTTCTGCTCCTCCCGAGCTGCTCTTCCCTCTTCGAAGGGTGGCCGCCGCGTCGGCGAGGGGGGAACCTGCCGCACGGTCGGCGCCTTCCCGTCCCGGTCCTCGGCCCGACTCACGGGTACCCACTTCATCGCGCCCGCCCCGCCGCGCGGGGTCGGCCAAGGCGGGGCCGAGCGCGGCAGGGTGTGTGTCGCGGGGCCTCCTCGCGCGGAAGAGGGTGCCAAAATGGCTGTGCCTGTGCTCCAGGCTTGAGCCAAAATGGCTACTGCGCGCCAGCGCGGGGCGTCTCCTGCGTCCTCCTCGCCCCCCTCGTCCTCTCGCCTTCCGTCTTCCTCTTTTCTACTCTCTCTCGTCTCCTGGTCACTCTCCTCTCCCGTTCATTTTCCCCTTCTTCCCCTTCCTCCTCCTCCTCCTCCTCCTCCTCCTCCTCCTCCTCCTCCTCCTCCTCCTCCTCCTCCGCTTCTCCGATCGTCGCCGTCCTCGTCCCCGTCTCACTCCTCATCCGCCTTGGCCTCGCTGCCGCCGTCACCCCGATCCTCCTCTCCCCCTCTTCCACGGCGAGCCCCGGCCACGGACACGCTCTCGGGCCCAGGGCCGAGGAGCGGACGGAAACCAGAGCACCTCCCGAGCCCGAGCTGGCTGTCATGTCAGCGTCCTGGCCACACGTCTTGGCTTCGCTCCTGGCCTCTCCTCCCCGCCGCTCCCCCCGCCTCCTGCACTCGCCGATGCCGCCCTCCCTTTCCCCCCTTTGCCTCGTCCGCCCTCCTCATGCACGCCCGACTTCCCCCTCACATAGTCTTGTTGTTGTCAGGCTCACTTGGGAAGAGTGCCACCAACCCTTTAGGGCGTGCGTGGTTTATGGCGTCTCCTCTTCCACGCCAGGTACCAAGCTTTGGGGGGCCCACCCCGCCGTGGTCAAGAGAGGCCCTGGCACACTGACACACCAATCACGGCCTTGGGGCTGAGCACAACGACGAAGTCGAGCGGAACAAAAGCGAGGCATGACCAAGGGCCGGTCCACCCAAGGCGAGTCAACAAGCCCAGCCCGCGCTGCTCAAGACAACGTTGCTGCGTGGCCCGCCAAACTGCGTCAGCGTCTACGCCCCCCGCTTGCTAGCAGTGCTTGGTGGTCTTACACGCAGCGTGAGCCTCACCTTTCGGACACCCCAACGACAGCAGACTCCGCAAGCAAGCGAATCAGTCTAAAAGTACCACATGACCGGACAATGCTTGTGGGGTGGAAGAACGAGATGCTCCACAACAAACGGCGTGCCTCACGCTAAAAATAACTCTAGTCGACCCGCCGTGTGCAGTTGCAAGCGCAATTATTTATGACATCTCCTACGCGCCTGGGCAGCTAATCATGCGACAAGTGGCCAGCGTCGCGGCGTTGGCACCGGCGTGAGGTACACCATCTGCTCCAGGAGCGTGTGGAAATGCGAACCGCGGTGGTCTCAGACTGTTATGCTTCCAGGCTGGCGGCCATCGCCCCTCGCGGCAAGGCGACATGCTGGATGCAGACCGATGATAGGAGCAACCTCTTCTGCACGAGTGGGCTTGCCTTGACAGCGTTGGCGCTCTCATGCGGCCCAGGCATGGGTGTCGAGTACCTGTACCTTGGCGAAGGAGCGGCCAGAAGAGCTCGAGCATCTGGACCACAATCTCACAAGCGCCGCTGGAGGCGTATGGGTGCACGTGTCCTTGACCAAGGCGTTAAACTAGGGTTAGGTCGGGCCTGTCCCCCTACAGGGGGATTTTGGGTGAAACATTAGAAATAATCAAAGTGTACTCCAAAAATGTCGAATACTAATCAGAAAATCGTCCACATATTATTTTTAAACTATTTTTGAATGTTCCCCCTGTAGAGGGACACGCCCGACTTAAAACTAGGGGGAGCCAAATTCATCTCGCCAGGCATCGGGGAACACAGGTCCACCGCCGTGATGCCAGCAAACTCTTATCGGGATTGCAGAGCACATGGCACGTATGACCTGGGAGCCCAGCGCGCAGGGGCTGAAGACAAACATAGTCCTAAACTTAAGTCGGGCGTGTCCCCCTACAGGGAAGTTTTCGACGAAAAATCCGCCGGCCCCCTTGTGGGGCCACCAGGCTGCGAGGCACGTGATTCGCAGTTTCCTGTGCCAGTCGTAGGTTGTAGTTTCCAGTGTTACAGTTCTGCTTCTTGCTGGTTACTGTAACTAGTTGACTTCTTGCTGGTTACTGTAACTAGTTGATTGACCGCGCGAGGGGGGGGGAGGCCCAAACAGGATTTTTAGCCTCACCTGGGCGCGTTGTCTGAATTGCTGGGGGGGCTCGAAATCGACACCCCTCACGCAGATCCGCGGGGTCAGGGTCCAAAAACACAGGGGATTTGCCACATTTCTGAAATTCGGTGCCACCCCTCACGCAGATCCGCGGGGTCAGGGTCCAAAAACACATGGGATTTGCCACATTTCTGAAATTCGGTGCCACCCCTCACGCAGATCCGCGGGGTCAGGGTCCAAAAACACAGGGGATTTGCCACATTTCTGCAACCCCTCACAGGTCAGGGTCCACCCACATTTCTGAAATTCGGTGCCACCCCTCACGCAGATCCGCGGGGTCAGGGTCCAAAAACACATGGGATTTGCCACATTTCTGAAATTCGGTGCCACCCCTCACGCAGATCCGCGGGGTCAGGGTCCAAAAACACAGGGATTTGCCACATTTCTGAAATTCGGTGCCACCCCTCACGCAGATCCGCGGGGTCAGGGTCCAAAAACACAGGGGATTTGCCACATTTCTGAAATTCGGTGCCACCCCTCACGCAGATCCGCGGGGTCAGGGTCCAAAAACATAGGGGATTTGCCACATTTCTGAAATTCGGTGCCACCCCTCACGCACATCCATCGCAAGGCGTGGTAACCCAAACTGCGAGTACTCCCTCGGCCCTTTAATCCCAAGGTGTGGTAACCAAGCTCGTAAACCATACACGTCTTACCAATCGCCCTGTGTGGTAACCCCTCTTGTGATCAGTTGGTTTTGCCGATTGCGAATCGGCCTCGCATGAAGTTCCGATACTGCTGCACGACAGCGCCAAAGCCTCATGACTTAGCTCTTCCATGGCCCATTCTCCGAGAGAGGGGGCAGGCGGCAGGGGGCGAAGCCCTTACGGATAAGACATACTCAAAACATACTCCCAAATGGTCAAAAATGCTCACAAAATAGTCTTTAGATTATTTTTTCATTATTTTTGAACATTCCTCCTGTAGAGGGACGGGCCCGACTTAATCCTAAACTACATGTGGATATCCACGTGGGGGACAGTGCCGCGTTGGAAGAGGAAGATAAATCTTTCTCAGGCCCTTCAGCCTCCAGCTACCCGCGAGGCTAATCATAAAAATGTCTGGAGCTGGTCCCCCATCGGAGCCCACGGTAGTAGGGGTTGACGTCGTAGTGAAGAAGGGTGGGCATCGCATCGAGGATGCGCTGAGCCTCAAGGCCACCTCTAACATACTGTGACCATCACCGACTGGAGCTGAGAAGCAAAACATCGGACATGCCCCCCAAGAAGACGAACCTCGTCGGCTGCCGCGCGAGGCAGACAGGCTCGAGTGCCTTCCTGCGCTTCTTCCACATCGACAGGTGCGCTCTGAGGTCGTCAAGCAAGTACGGGGGTTCGCAGCGAAATGAAGGGGGTTACAATCCTCCGGGTGCTAACGCTGAAAGGTCTGGGAAGCCGCGCCAATCAACACCGCACCCGACAAGCGAAGAAGATGGCGGGGGTCTGTGGGGCTCCAGATCGTGACGTGATCGTCCTTGCAGACCCGGAGGGTACCAATGACCTGCGGGATGCATTTGGAGATTTCCGCCTAGGAGTTCGCGCGTCCTTGATCGAGATCGTCCAGCCTTCGAGATGAAGGCCACAGATGTCAGAGGGCCGCTGCTGTACATGTATATATATATACACATATATCCATGTTTCGAGCATGTTGAGTACCAACCCAGGACCACTCGTGTTTGCTGTATCGCTGTTGAAGGCAATCACGTCTTGCAGCACCGGTGGCGATGTGTGCGAAGGGCCTGCGCACTGTTCGCGCTTTGGCAAGGAAGCGGCTCGTATCCGTTGTACCTCCGCGACCACATCGCCTTGAGGAAAAGAGCGAACATGCACCCGCGCGTGTGTAAGCATACTGATGACGCACGGCGCATGTCGGCGTATGTGCCGCAATTGCTGTGCTGTTTTTTCATGGTATCATCGAAGTGTTCGGCTCCCTACAGCCAGTTCGCAGTCGGCCTCGACGTGTCAAACTGCGTTTGCTCTCTCGTTCAATCTCTCTCTCCCTCTCTCTTTCTCTATCCGCCTAGGATGAAGTCGGGCGTGTCCCCCTACAGGGGGATGTTGGGAGAAAAATTTAAACATACTCAAAACATACGCCCCAAATGCCCAACAATAATAAAACATCATCCCTAGACTATTTTTTACTATTTTGGAATCTCCCTCCTGTAGAGGGACGCGCCCGACTTAAGCTTAGAAACACAACATGATTGAACCGCCCGTGCGCCTACATGCTATGACGTCACAGCGCGAATCCGTCCACACAGCCTGCGCGGAGCAACCGCTGATAGCCCAACCTTTTTGGTGTTGTGCTGGATTCCGAATACAGTCGGACTTTTTTTTTTTTCCCTCGTTCGGCTCGGCAAGCAGCGTGAAATAATCGTGACCCTTCGCGCGCTGGCCGCGCGCTACGGCTGCAAGCACCTGTCCCCGACCGGTCTGGTGTCTTTACCTGTCCGACGAGGCCTGGGGGACATCGACGTGCGAGGCCCATGCAGCACGAAAAAACACTGGCGACGCGCTATACGAGCGCCCCAAAAATGGCTCTTTAAGGAACGCTCTGGCTCGACACCTCGGCGACCCAGCCTCGAGCGAGCCTCTCGTAAAAACTTTGGCAGAGGGATGCTCGACTAGACAAGAGATGATTGAACAGGATGCCGCGGGCCCACCCTTCACCCGACGACCCAGTTCATCGTCACCCTCTACCCCCACGCCCCTCAGGACTCTACGCTGACGAAGCCCACCAACGAGCTAAAGACGAGCCCGAGAGCGCTCTTCTGGGCCAGCCAGGCAATCGTGAAACTTCGGGGCCCCTGGCGCCCAGGGCTTGGCCGCGCGGGCGCGCTGGCTCGACGGGGCCGCGCTTCGTGGCCGCCCGCGGGAGCTGCGGGAGGGAGGGAGGGACGGAGGGGGGTAGGATGGAGGAAGATGTTGCAATATCTGAGTCCAGCTCATCCTCCCCTCCCTCCTGCTACTCACCCTGCTCGGGCAGTCGTCGGATCAGCCGCGGGAGACCGTCACCATCTCCAGCTCCGCGCTGCCCCTGCTGCCCCGCTCTTTGAGCAGGGCGGCGCTCTGGACGGTCTTCCTGATGCTCCTCCCCTTGCCCTCGTCGGAATCGGCCGGCGGAGCCTCCCAGGTTTGCACGTCCGCCTCCTCCTGCGCTATCAACTCTATGGTGCTCTGCACGGCCTCCACGATGATGCCCAACGGGATCGAGAACATGGCGATGCCGAATATCACGTAGAGGATGCACAGGCGGGAGGCGGCAAAGGTGAAGTCCACGTTGGCCCACTCCCCCGTCAGGAAGATACTGCACCAGTACATCGACGCGGGCACCGAAGTCATGGCGTCGTCGCCGGTGGAGACCTCGCCGTCCTGCACGGGGGTCCCCTCGAGCCAGTGCCCCCAGTAGTTCTCGAGCCACATGAACAGGCTGGAGGTGAATATCCAGACGCTCAGGGCCAGATACGCGGGAACGACCAACAAATCGCTGGCGTCTGCGAGCGCGCGACTGATCATCGACACCTCGCGGCTGAAGAAGGGGAGCTCCAGGATGCGCACCACGCGGATCAGCACTAGCGACTCCAGGACTGCCTCCGCCTGCGTGCCGCGGATGTCGGTGGTCTTCACCACCTGGTAGAAGATCTCGATCAGCCCTGGGAAGAGGCAGATCAGGTCGAAGAGCCGCCACGGCCTCAGCATTGACTTGCTGCGAGGTGGAGGAGCGGCCATGAAGAAGATCAGGTACTCCACCACGAAGATCACTGTGAATACGCACTCAGCGAAGCGCATCCAGTCCTCGATGTAGGAGTATTTCTTCAGATCCCACTCAGGCAGGGTTCTGACGGCGGCGTTCAGGAGGTCGATGACCAGAATAGCAGCAAAAAATGAGCGGACGTGCTTGCCGAACGCCGAGCTGGAACGGGCGATGTCCCGAGAGACGAGGACGATTTTCGGAAGAGGCACGCGTGGCGACTCGCCCAACAGCCCCGCCTTCTTCTTCGCTCGGTAGTTCCGCTGGATGGCCCTCGCGACCTTGATGCTCGCCATTACCTGCTTTTGCTTGAGCTGAGTCATTTTCGCGTGCCGCTCTTCTCTAATGTAGCTAGTTACACCGCCAGTGAAAGTCCCGATGAACGACGCGATGATCGCGATCCCAAACATGATGCCCATGAAGTGGATAACCTTGGCATAAAACGTGTAGTCTGTCTCAGGGTAGTCCCCAAAAAGGTGCACAATGCTGTATTGCAAACCTCGCAGGACGCTGTCATAGCGCATGAACATCGGAAGGTCTCCATTACACTCTTCAACTGCGTCCTTATCCTCGCACGTATCCAATGTCTGCCACTTGCACTTCGACTCCTCCTTCTCGAAGCACTCATTGATCTCGTCCCGGAAGTCCTGCAGTTTATCGCCCGTGAAATCGTGCTCGAACAGATACAGAATCGTAGCGTGGCAGAACCACGTTGAGACCATCACGCTTCCGCTGCGAGCGAGCATCTTCCGGTTGAGGTACAAGACGTTCTTCAGTGTATGGAACGAGAAGATGTACTGTTCCAAAGTGAAGAGACGCAACAACCTCATCGGGACGATTATGTCCTCCAAGAGTGCCCCGTTGCCGTACTCTGGATGAAATGCTTCTTTACGGAGGCTCGGCTTGAGGGTCCACAACTCAGCGAAGAGCGAAAACAGCTGGAGCATCCCAAATATTGATGCTGGGTGGCGCCACCCAAGTGCCACTGTTCTTGCAGCAAACTCTGCAATGAAGAAGCCGATAATTAACCAGTCCACCGCGTAGCATGCCCAGAATATAGTGCCAAACTGGCCGCCGAACTCGCTCTCGTCCACCGTGTTCACGCAGACGATGAACGTCGACGCCGCAACGGCAACGAAGCTCAAGGCCCGGGCCAGGCGGAACGGAACGGACGGGCGGCTGCCTTCTGGCAGGTGCACCTGCTCGAAGAACAAGTCGTAAAGCTGCCGCTGGGGCCCGGCGGTCTGCGGCTGCCAGTGCGCCTGCCAACAACGACGGTCGAAATCGGCGTTGTCGTTGGCGTCGTGTCCTTCGATCATCTTGCGGAGCATCCCCTGGCCGATGATGGAAATCGGAATGCAAAAGAGCATGATGCTGAAGAGGCAGGCGCCTGTCGCTATGCCCTTGCCCGGGATGGAATAGTCTGCCCAAGGCCACTCTCCGTGCAGGTTAATGACCTCTGCCCAAGGCGAACGCATCAAAGACCCATATATCTCCACCATTTCCGTATCATACTGATAGCGCTCGGTGACGTACAACCCATGCGAGTACGCCATCCACACGAAGGCGGAGAAGAAGAGGGCCGCAACCAGAATGCCCCTGCTCTCGTAGGCGACCTGCCTGAGGTCGCGGAAGCTGTGTAGATAGCGCTCCGTCTTGAAGACGCGAATTAAGCAGAGTGCCAGTATCCAGTCGCTCACCGGGGTCGAGCCTGAGACGAAGAGGCAGATGTGCGGGATGGCGGACAACCACGCAAACAGGTCAATGCAAGCGTGCAGCGTTACGACATACGCGCGCCCATGTCTGCGCAGATGGTCCGCCCACTCCAACATGAAGATGAAAGCGACTACTCCATCCACACATGCTAGGGCCGTGGACCCGATGTGGACCGGGATGAGAAAGAAAGAGTCGTGGTTTGTTCCGCGGGCAGTGTAAAAGAACCAACTCACTATCGAGAAGAAGCTTAGGGAGCCTGCTACCAGACCGCCATAAACGGGCTGGAGGCCGAAGAAGGAAATATCGAGATCCACGGATGAGCTAAAGCGACTCGGGTCGTCGTCTGTGGACCTCTGCTTCAGCAACGCATACTGCAGAACACTCGTGGGCAGCGCGAATAGCGGCATCGCGAAAATACACACGATGATGCACCAAAGGCGCTGCCAGAAATCGACGTGCGCATCGGCCAGTGGGTGTTCCTTGCACAAGTTTATGAGGACGTACCACATCGTGGACGGTATGGACTCGAACTTTTTCCAGCCCATGATTTTCCCTTCGCAATCCTTGTCGTCCGAGCCGTCTTCCTTTTGACATTCGCTTCTGTCTTCGTACCGAGCTACTTCCCACACGGCTAACTCATTTGTGCTGGTTCTGTTGGACAGGTAATAGAGGCAGCTCATGATGGTCCAGATCACCAGGCCGAACATGAAGGCAGTAAGCAGCAGCTTACCATCATCGACAAGCATGTGCCTGAGCTTGCTGAACCCCAAGCCGGCCCCCGCGCGCTCCATCATGTCCAGGGCGCGAAAGAAGAACATCCAGAGCAAATTCATGTGCTGATGATGGCCAGGTACCCACCACTGGCCGATGTTGCAGATAGAGACCGAGACTGCGATGATCTCCAGAAAGAGATTCGGGTTGGTTGCGATACGGCGGAATGCGGCAGACCAGCCGTAATGCTGCCACTCTGGGTCAACGTGAATCACCGCGATCCGCAGCACTGTGATCGCCGCGAAGAACAGAGTGCTGCCCAGCTCGACAACGAAATTCAGCGTGAGTTTACCGCCGTAGGCTTTGGCCTGCCAACCATCACCTAATTCATCCTGGAGCTCTTGAGCGTGTTCCCAGACATCTCCGTAGCATCCTCCCTTGAAGTCTTTGTTGTCCCCGTCCATCCCCTCGTCCGGCCCAAAGTACTTCGCGTCCCCACCTGGCATGCACCATAGCTCCAGCTTTACCTCGGTGATCTCTGCGTAAGTGTAGAAGTTCAGTATAGCAAGGAGCACGATTGCGGCGTTCAACGACTGCGCGAGGGTGCTGTTGCCGTAGAGGGCCTCGTAGATACTACCCAATGCTCCACTTGGCTCACTGACGGAATACCCCACCGGCTTGTAAAGAAGGATGTCGTCTGTGAACGAGTACAGAACGAGACCCACGACGATGCTGATAAAGATGAAGATCCAACCACACTGTAACCAAACCTTGTCTGCCCTGCTCATCAGCTTGTACGGCTCTTCCCACTCATCATCATCATCACCGTCATCGTCTTCGTCATCAGCGCTCTCCTCCTCGTCGCCTCCGTCTTCTTTCCGCCTTGGGCCTATGTCTCGCTCGGTCGCCCCCGCAGTCAGCACTGTCACCGTCTGTACGGCTCCGGGCTCGTCTTCAAACTCCTCGAGGTTCGCAGACGGGAGCGCCGCGCCACCGACGGCGCCGAGGAGGACCCCCTCGGGGCCGCCGCCCTGCCGCCGGGCCTGCCCCGAGGTGCGGCCAGGCGCGGGGACGCCGCCGTCCAGCACGTCCCTCGAGTGCAACTTGTCCGACAGGCCGCCGTGAACTAGATAGCCTCCGAACGGGCGCAGCCCGACCTCGGCGCCCGCTGGCGAGGGCAGCACGAGCAGCAGGAGCAGCACCCGGGCGCGCGGCATCCGGCCGGCGTCGGACGAGGCCCCAGGAGCTGCGGCAGCTGGCGGATATGGCCCCCTCCGCGGGCGCGCGCTCTCGGTCTTGAGCCAAAATGGCTACGGACCAAAATGGCTACGGACCGAATGCAGTCGGACTTGATTGGAGAGGGCACGCGAGAGGACACAAGACCCTTCCGAGGGCCACGTTGCCACAGAAATGCAGGAGGCATGGGTCGCGAGACACAGGACACAAGGGTACCCTTGATCTGGCAAGGTCGACCTACTAATCCGGGCCGCCTGTACAAGCTCATCAAACCGTTCCGCCCAGGCTTCTCGGGCTGTGCACAGACATGATCGGTTGAGGTTCGAGAAGCACTGACAAACACGAGCTGTGCGGCTGACCTTTAGTTGTATGCGAGTCCCTTTCAGAGACGTTGCCCTGACGACACTCAAACATGGACATGCGCAGGCAACACATTGGCGCACCCACACCGACACAATGCGTCACAGTCATAGAACACCCGCCATCACATTAATTTGAATGCCAAACGAGGTTGGCTGCAAATGGACGTGGTGGCACTGATGCGTGATGTTCTCTGGGTGCAGGCAGGGAATCAAGCACACAACAGGCAAACAACACCCACCCGCATAGGCAAATCTGATCCCATAGGGTGGGTGGGGGTGCATAGGCCGACTCTTTTACGCAGAAGAAGACACCCCTAGGCCGCTGCTCGTACCTCGCAAAGCACACGGGAGATCAACATCTATGCGTTCACATTTATGGTCTAACGGTTTGTAGCGTGGTTTTTCTTGATCCTCAAACGCACGGGCGTTTGGACAAACCAGTCGCAATTGAACACCAAATACGTTCCATACTGTTCAGACCTATTCGTAATTGTGCAAGCGGGAACGATGCATAACGGACTGCGTCTGCAAACAATTATTTGCTCCATGCGCCGGGACCTGACCCGTCGTGATGCACTGAAACGTGATGCGCGAAGCGTGTGCCCTCCACCCTCATTCACATGCATCTGCGGGCGACGCGCCATTTTCAACTCTTGGCGAGGGATTCCTGCACGTCCTCGGGAACGCGAGCTGAAAAAAAGCGCCAAGACAATGATCAATATGCCAAAGGCTGACACTCGCTTCCTTACCGTTCACCATGCACGGCTCGAAAGCTGGAGGCCTCCCAAATGGGGTCCGAGTAGATGGGGACGGGTGGTCGCGCCGCATCGCCGATGCATCGGCGAAGTCGGCGATGCACCTGCGCCATTGGTGGTGGCGGTGCCTCGGCGAGCCGCACTGGCGATGCATCGGCGATGCGGCGCGATCCACCGACCCCATGTACTTCGACTCCATTTGGAAGTGAAAAACGAAAACCGCAACCAAGGCTTAATGCGGAAACGTCGGTGTCGGACTTCTTGGTCACCGTCCACCTCGGTTACCGTTCGTGCATCATCCTCGCGAATCGGCGACGGCCGGCAGGGACCATTGACCAAGATCGGCTTTGACAAGATCCCCCGACAGCTTGGCCATGGTCATCTCATTTCTTCCATCGACCGTTTGGGAGGCCTGGAAAGGCCTATCCAAATTACAGAAGGCCCTCAACCGCCGGGCTGGGGGCATCGTCCATACCGTCTGCCGATCGCCAAACACAGGCGCCCTCGGTGAAAAACAGCACCACCGGCATCCGACGGCCCGCTCAACAGGGGGGGGTGGGGGGGGGGCAGAGGAGAGGCGGCTGCCTTCTCGAGGCCGAGCGCGACGCTCTCCTGCGGTATGTTCTCCCTGTTGCGGCACCTCGGCTAAAGCCATGGCATCTGCCTGTCCCCCCTGCCAGCCCTCTTCCTGGCCTCTCCCCCTCCTGGCCCCTCCCCCTTCACCTCCTGCTCCTCTTCCTCCCCCTCCTGCTCCTCCTCCTCCACCCCTCTTCCTCCTCCTCCTCCTCCCTCCTCCTCCACCTCCTCCTCCTCCTCCTCCTTCTTCTCCTCCCTCTCCCGGCACCCGTTCCGTCTCCTCCTTCTACCTCTCCTCCCCCTTTACTCCTCTCCTCCTCCTCCTCTCCTCCTCCTCCTCCTCCTCCTCCTCCTCCACCTCCTCCTCCTTCTTCTCCTCCCTCTCCCGCACCCGTTCCTTCTCCCTCCTCCTCCTTCTACCTCTCCTCCCCTTTTACTCCTCCTCCTCCTCCTCCTCCTCCTCCTCCTCCTCCTCCTCCTCCTCCACCCCCGCCTCCGCCGCCTCCTCATCAACATCCTCCTTCCCCTGGGAGTGGCACCCGCCAGGCAGTTGTGAGCCGTGACTCGCGCCTTCGAGGGGGACCGAACCGAACCACAGCTGCAACAGTGTGAACACTGGCTCTCCTCGGCTATGGTGGATGTGGTGGGCTTGTTTTCCACCACCACCACCATAAGTAGGAGGTGGAGGGGGTCCTCCTCCTCTTCCTCTTCCTCCTCCTATTCCTCCTCCTCCTCCTCATCCTCTTCGTCCTACTCCTCATCCTCCACCTCCTTCCCCCCTCCAACTTATGGTGGTGGTGGTGGGAAACAGGCCCATGACGCCACACGCAAGAGTGACCCTGGGCAAGAGTGATCTCTGGTGCGCCACTTCCGGGGGCCGCGGGGAGGCCGAACCGGAGCGCGCCAGCCGCTGCCGCCGCACCGCCTTCGGCCACCTCGGGAGGAGGAGGAGGAGGAGGAGGAGGAGGAGGAGGAGGAGGAGGAGGAGGAGGGAGGAGGGAGGAGGGAGGAGGAGGAGGAGGAGGAGGAGGAGGAGGAGGAGGAGGCCGCTCCAGCGAGAGGTCCCTCTGACATGCAGCCGATCCCCTCTCCCCCGACGCTGCGCTGTGGGCCGGCGCGCCGCGACGTGCGCCCGCAGGCGCACACCCTGCCAGAGGAGCCGTGCGGGCCCGGCGCGGCGGAACAGGCCCCCGAGAGCCCGCCCGTCGGGCCCTGCAGTGCTGGAGGCTTGGAGTGAAGGGGCCCTGGGACACACAAATAGATACACACAAATAAAGATATTCCCCATACTTTCCCATCTTTTCTGGGTTTCTGTCTCCCCCCCCACTTCCCATATTTTCCCATATTTCCGGGGGAATCGAGGATTAAGTGTGTCTGTGTGTTTCTTTTCCTCCTGATGGAGGTGGGCACCGCCGCCGGCACCAATGGGGGTAATTGTGTGCACTCAACGCGTCCTCCGTCCACACCCGCCGGGGTGGAGCGAAGCGCTCGCGGGCATGCTGCGGGGGATCTCCGGCCACCGTGCCGATGCCGAGCTGCACTGTCAATGCCTCTCTGTCCTGGGACTTTGTTGTGCTCTTGTTCGATAGAGCACTCGACACGTGTGCTGAGCTACACTGTCAATGCCACGTTGTTTGCTCTGTTCCTGCTCTGAGCGCACACCGTTTGAAGCATCGGAGAGCCTGAGAGATCCACCGAACAGATAATCTTTCGGCCCCCTAGGAACCCCGAATATTACCACTATCGCAGCGATCTGGAGCATCGGTGTTGGTGTCCATGTCTAGGCCTCCGACAATGAGCACATCGTGGCGCCTCTGGGGGGCTCCGTGCGATGCTCCTCCAAGAGCGCCCTAAGAGCATCCCCAAGAGGGCCCCGCGAGGCCAAAATAATTGCTTTATCTTGGCTTTTGTTGTCCGAGGTTTTGGATCCTCGACATTGCAAGATGCCGACGCTCCACGAGGGCCAAAGAGGCCCCCACGGCCGCCCCAAGACGGCCCCAGAGGCCCCCAAGAGGGCCCCCAAACTGCCCAAGGGGGTTCCAAGACGGCCCCAGAGGCGCCCTCGGCGCCGCTCCCACTCCCACCGCGCCGCCCAGCCGCCGCTGCCCCCCCGCCCCCCCCCCCGCCGCCCCCTCCCCCTTTTCCTCCAGGCCCGCGCGCGAACGTGGCGCCTCCCGGGGGGGGGAGCTCCGCGCGAGAGGTCCGCGCGCGAACGCGAAGCGCGCGCCGGCGCCGAGGAGCCCCTCTGGCTGGGGAGCGGGCCCAATACCCTCAAGTCGGGCCTGTTCCTCTACAGGCCGATTTTGGACGAAACATTAAGAATACCCCCCACCGAATTACAACCATGCTCAAGAATGGTTTCAACAAAAAGTTCCCAGACTTTTTTTGACTATGTTTGAATATTCCTCCTGTAGAGGGACAGGCCCGACTTAACAACACCCAGACGTCCGACGTCGTGTTTTTTCTGCGCGGCGCGGCTGACCAGGTCTGGGCCCCTTCCCCGGGGACGGGATCCTCGCTCCGGGTCGCCACTGTGACGGCCCCTGGGGCCCCGCAGAAAAGGCCCCTGGAGGCCGAAGGCTGCCGCAAGCCTGCGGTCGTGGGCTCCACGACGCGAGGACGTCAGAGTATGTACTCGGGGCGAGGCCGTGGGGGCAAGGGTCCGCGGACCTCCGCTGCGCCGCGAGCAGCCACAGGCGCCGCCCTGGCAGACCCAGGCTCGGATCGGCGCAAGATGCTCGGCGCCTCCCTGCAGCTCGCCTGCGCAGCAGCCGCGCGAGAGCGGCGCGTTCCTGCCCCTCCCAGAGGCATCCGGCCCATCGGTTTCTTCGACGCCTTTGCCTCTGGACACCTGGGCCTCTGACCTGCCCAGGATACCTGCTTCGGCGGTCTGGGGCCTCGAAATCGGCCTCGTGAGGCCCAAAGAGTTTCTTGCCGATGCGCCCAAAGTCTGGGCGATCACATTCCACAGCGCTGCCAGAATACCACACGCTGGTTGCCTGTCTCGGCGGCGCTGGCAAAGAACCCTGCCAGAGACACCGGGGGCAGTGCGACCGGTTAGTAGTCCAGGCAGCCTCACGAGTCGCCCTATTGCAGTGGGCGAGGGGATGGGGTGAGACAGGAGGGGCTGCCACTACGCATTATCCTTTCCCTCTCCTCCTGTTTGTTGTGGTGTTTTGTTGTGTTTGGTGTTCCGATGTTTATTGGGTGCGTGCGTGTATGTGAAACTTCTGAAGACCTGCGTGGGCCTCTGGGGACCTCCAGGGGGCCTGGGGTGTTGGGATGATGAGGGTGGAGGAGGCATATGGAGATGAGCGGGGCCTGGTGAGGGCATGGGGGGCATTGTAACCGACAAGCCATCCCTGGGGCTACCCAATAACTTTCTGTCCGACAGGTAG